CGTGGTTGTACAGCTGCTTGACCATCCTGTGGCTCCTGACCTCCTCCTGGAGCCCGAGCAGCTCAAGGTGCGTGTGGCTCCCCGGGCTCTGCCTCCAGCTGCATACATCTGAGAGGAGCCAGCACGTCACCTTGCAGAGCGCTTGCTTCCCTCCCGCGGCTCCGCGCGGGACCCGAGTGGGAGTGGTGCACAAGGCAAGGATGGCTGGGGCACGGAGAGCTGGCGGAAGCTCGGTGTTCTTCATGAGCCCTGGGTAAGGGTTGGGGTGTGCCATGGTGACGGGGCAAGTCAAGTCTCCCTGTCTTTGAAAGGATGGGGCTAGCCAGTTGCTCTCTAACGACCCCATGGGGTTCCTGGGGTCTTTAGCAGAAGGGAAGCAACCTTTCAGGCCTGGGGCTGTGTTGGGGGCAGCAGGCTTTGCCGAGCTCTCTGAAGTGGGAGAAATACCCCTGCATGCGCCACTCCCTGCTCTTTGCAAGATCCTGCCTGACCTGAGCAAGTCCATGGTGGAGAGTGCAGGAAGGGGAGGTGGCCACTCCACCCAGACTGGACAGTATGCTGGGTGGCGGTTCTGGAAGCCTGTGTGAGCCATTGGAAAGCAGTCCTGTGGTGGGCAGGAACCCGTGCCTGGTGGGAGTCCTTGTCCACAGGGAAGTGTGGTGGCAGCACAGCTCACTCCCTTGGGACGCAGGTCAGCCTGTGTAAAGGGACCGCAGCTGGTTGTGAAGATCCGCTGAGAGGTGTGAAAGGGGCTGGGCAGGTTGTGGCAGGTGTCAGTAACCTGCCCTCGGGCAGAGCTGCTCCCCTGCTGCCCAGGCCCTGCAGCAGTGCCCACTGTGGAACCTCGCTGTCACCCTTTTTCTTTTTTTTTAAATCCTCACCCAAGGATATTTTTAAATTTATCTTCAGATAGAGTGGGAGGGAGGGAGGGAGGGAGGGAGAAACATCAACGTGAGAAGGACACATCAACTGGTTGCCTTCCGCATGACCCTGACCAGGGGCCTTACTGTCATCTTTTCTGCCAGGGGCTGATGGAGGGAGGTACTGCCTGGGTTAGGGGAACTGCGCCCAGCGAGGGCACTCAGGGTGGGGGAGGCTTAGGCATCCTGTGCTCAGTCCCAGGGTGGAGCTGGGCCTGCACATGCCCGTTGGCTCCTCTGCTCTCAGCCCTCAGCAGCTGTTTTGCAGTCCCCTGTTGCTTAAGGTAGAAACCTTAATGCTGCTGCATCCAGGTGCCATGGCCCAGGATGTTGAGGGAGCTGTGTCCAGGCCTCCCCCAGACCTGCAGTGCAGATGAGTTGGGCACATGGGAGCCATGTGGGGCTTTGGCTCCAAGATGACATGCTGCCAGCGGTCCAGTCTGAGGGGCAGAGCCGCATCTCCACACCAGCTCGGGAGGGGTGAGGTGCCTCTTAGAAAGGTGCAGCTGCACAGGAGGTGTGAATGGGGAGGTGTAGCAGAAATAAAGGCCAGCTGCTCTTTACACGTTCTTGAATTTGACCCAGAGCAGTCACATCGCCCTCCTTTCTGCTTCCTGCCCTCTGAGCTCAAGTGTCCATTCGAGAGGGTGGATCTTCGAGAAGCCTGTGGTCAGGGCACAGGGAGCATTCTGTTAGTCCCTGCTAGGTGGAGATGATGTCCCAGCCGGGACAGACCCAGGGAGCAGTTGCATTTGTGCTGCTGTTTGACAGCAATGTAGTTCCTGGCCCCGGCCTGAGAACCAGCAGTTCAGATGTGTGTCTTACAGGCTGCCTCCTGCTCACAGAGACCTGTCAGTCACTCCAAGAAAGTGTGGGGTGTGTCCTCACGGTGACCACCATGTCCCTCAGGGCACCATTAACTCCCGTTCTTTAGCCTTGAGAGTGTGGTCTAAAGTGACAAGCCCAGAGTCTAGTTGTGGGCCATTTTTATTTTGTTCATGCTTCCAAATATTCTGAAGTGTTTAAGGAAAAAGGTCAGCCTTGTTGCTACACAAGAGAAGGGTGGCGGCAGCTTAATGGAAGGGCTCACTTCCTGTTGGTTACTGAGTGCTTTCAGGAGGTTGGAGCTTGAAGGCAAATGACCAAATGCTTTCCAGCATCTTCTGGGGATGGTGAGGTGGGTGAGGAAATGGGAGTGCCCACTTAATGCCCGGTGCCCTGTCTACTAGGGGTTCCCTTCTGTAGCCTTCGAGAGCTTGAGGAAAGGGTTGCCTTGGGGCAGCTGAATCCCCCAGGTCACAGAGCTGGGAATCGGGCCTCTGCCTCGCTGGAATCCTGTCCCTCTCTCCAGCCCTCCATTGGACCCCTGGATGGATGGATCTTAACTCTTGGCTGTTATTTTTTCTCACTAGGTTTGGCCGGTACAGATGTGAGAAAGGGACCACTGCAGTCCTCACTGAAAAAGTCACTCCCCTGGAAATTGAGGTGCTGGAAGAAACAGTCCAAACGATGGACACTTCCTGAATGGTGTCAGTGGATGGCTGGTTACTGCTCTAGAAGACGGGGGGGCAATGGGGTTTTCCCTGTAGACATTCATTCGGCTAGTGTTTGCTGAATGAAACCCAATAAAAAGTCAAAAGTGAAAACCAAATTGAATGGCTGAGGTCTGGGGACTTTGTGAGGTGGTTTTTTTTTTTTTGGCCCTCGAGGCCTCCCCTCAGGATGTTAATCCTTTCCCGAGGGCTAGTCTGTGTTCAGGTGGGTGTAAGAGCCACGGAACCCTAAAAACATATGAGGCTTATATGTTGCAGGAAGTCAGATGAGGTGACTGATTCTTCAGGTGAACATTTATACCTTCCCCTGTATTAACTTGCCTTCTCTTGGTTTAGGGTGGTCCCAGGTGTTCTCATTTTTTTTTAAGGAAGAGTGCAGCACAGCCCCCGCCCCCGGAGCCACGTAGGTAGGGAATAGCCAGCCACGGTCAGTGCAGTGCCTTTGCCAGGGCCGCATGAAACTGGCCGAACTCCTCTCAGGCAAGTTTCACAGAAGTCAGGGTGCCTCGGGGATCACTGTGTGATAATTAGGGTGCGTTCCTTTCACAGACACCTAGGCCGGGCGCCCATTTGCTGGGAGGGTCCTGCCAGGCAGGACTGTCCTCGTGGCATGTGGAGAGCAAGTTTGTCTGCGTCTGATGCTGATTCTGCCGAGGAGCCGCAGGAGGGTTTCAGAACTTAAGCAGAATGTTTGCAGAACATCTGTCTGGAATCTGTAAAACTTTCAGTGGTAAGAGCTCGGTAGAAGACAGGGCCTGACTCTCCCCAGAGAGAGCATGGCTGGGGCACAGGAGAAAGGCCCCGCACCAGGACTTCCAGATGAACCCGCCCTTGGGCCAGCCTCCCTTGTCGACTTCCAGGAGTGGGGCACGGAGAGCAGTGCAGTTCTTTTTTTTTTTTTTTATCCTCACCCAAGGATATTTTTGCATTTATCTTCAGATAGAGCAAGAGGGAGAGAGGGAGGAAGAGAGAGAAACGTCGATGTGAGAGAGACACATCGACTGGCCACTACCCACACAACCTCAACCAGGGCCAGGGACAAACTGCAACCGAGGTACGTGCCCTTGGTGGGAGCCGAACCCAGGCCTCTGGCCCAGAGGCCGACACTCTAACCACTGAGCCAAACCGGTCAGGTGAGCAGTGCAGTTCTTTAGGGAGCAATTTGGCTGACGACTGTTAAAATTATCTGCGAGCTTTAAAAAGTTCCAGGAATACTCAGGATGTTTGGGTCCTGAGAAATTGTGTTTTAAAAGGTGCCTCAAGGAGCCCTGTCCAGTGTGGCTCAGCGGTTAGAGCGGTCTGGAGAGACCCGGGTTCGGTTCCCGCTAAGGGCATGTACCTCGGTTGCAGTTTGTCCCCGGCCCTGGTTCGGTCATGTGGGTGGCAGCCACTAGATGTGTCCCTTTCACATCAATGTCTCTCTCTCTCTTCCTCTCTCCCCCTCCCACTGTATCTGAACAAAAAAGTGAAAAAATGTCCTTGGGTAAGGATAAAAAATAAAATAAATAAAAAGTGCCTCAAGGAATTGTGCTGCAGTGTGGAGCTGTTTAAATGATCCATGAATCACAGTCACACCAGTCACCCCCTTACCCCATTTTATTTCAAACATGGAGAACACGTACAAAGCAGAGGTTGCATCCGAAGAAAATCTCTCCAACCTAACAGTGTTAACAGTAGAGCAGAGTTCACACATGGAAACAGAGCAGTGGCCCAGCCCCAGGCCGGTCTCCCCGGGGAGGCCCGGGCGCCCGGTGCAAATGCAGGGGCGGCGTGGGCTCTGTCTGGAGGGCTGAACTGTCACCAAGTCAGTGGACAGTAACTTAGATCATCTGAGGATTAACTTGAGCATAAAGACGAAATTCAAACTTTGCTTCAGAGCTTGAGTTTTCCTTAAATTCACATTTATAAATTAGTCTTCACAGTTAATCCTATTTGGGAACGAGAAATAAAGGGACGCCCTTCTGGTTTCCTAGACATAATACAGTTGCACATTTTAATTCTTGATTTACATGGTCCGTGGACTTGAATTTTGTGAAGGGGTGAGTGGCTGCCTTTTTTGGATCATCTGCAATGTGCTGGACAACTTGCATACTTTATTTCAAATTCTGTCAGCACCCTGAAGGTGGGTATTATTAGTCCCATTTTACAGATGAGGAAATTAAGGCTCAGAGAGGCTAAGAAACTCGCCCAGGGTCATGGTAGGAAGTTGCAGAACCAGAACTTGTACAGAGAACAGCCTGAAGGCATGCTTTATATTTATGCTTTTGTATCCCATGCTTCCATCGCACAGAGGAAAACACGTAACACTGATCATTAAATGAACCGCCAGCACCAGGCAGGTGGTGAAGTGCCTGGCAGAGAGCAGGTGTTCAGAAGACGGCTGAGCCCGACTGCACGAGGACACGCCTTTCAAATGCCGGGTCTTCTGAAGCTCTGCCAGGTGCCGGGTTCTCATCCTCATTCACTGAGTTACAAACGTAGATTAAAATATTAGGGACATCTCCACTGTATTTAAAAAATTGTGTCGCTTTATCCCTTTACGACAGAGTAAATTAAGCACAGAGCTTAATTGAAAAGATTCTAAGAGCTAACCGGAACTTACTACTAGGCATTTTCAAAGGCTCACTACAAATCCCAGTCTCCTGCAATTCTGTTAGTATCAACCTTGACCAGTCACTGAAGGAATTACCCTAACGATTCACATTACAGGGGTGCGTCACCGGCACACTGAACTCCACACCCTCGTTAACAACCCAGCTGAGATTGTCCACAACAGTTTAAAGAAAGGACTTTGAATTGGACCACCAGTGATGTGACCAGCGCCCCTCCCCCACCCCACCCCCAGGCCGCCCTGCATCCAGCGTCTGCTGTGAAGCCGGCCCCTGGGGAGCCTGCTGATGTCTCATCTTTGCCGGTCTAGGCTACCAGGTGGCCACATTGGAGAGAAGACCCAAGTAAGGCAGAGTGGTGCTGGCTCCGACAAGGCACACTGCGTCTGCTCAAGCGCTGGAAGTCCACACGTGCATCTGCTTAGCGACCTGGTGCACGTAGCCAATGTCGGGTCTCTGGGTGGGGTCGGGGTAGATGCACATACTGACCAGTTCTCGTAGCTGCAAGGGAGAGGATGGCGTGTTAGCTCTGCAAGCAGCCTTGCTGGGCTTGGTGGCGCCGTCTGCACGAGGCACGTAGCCCCCAAGACAACCAGAAGGCAAGGCCCCTGCTGAGAGGTAAGGGATGGTGCACCGCCACGGCCACCTGCAGAGCCAGGGCCAGTCTGAGGCCCGGCTGGCCTCGAAGGCCACGCTTTGAGACCCTGAAAGTGGTTATCTCCAAATAATTTTGAAGTTTCAACTCTCCACTCTGCTAGGTAAGTCTGTGTGTGTGTCTGCTGTCAGTCACGCAGATGCCCAAGCCAGAGGACAAAACTCAAGGCGAGGGCTTATTGATCATAATAAATGCATTAACATGCAGCAGGGCTGCAGTCTGCCCACCCCCTGGCCTCTTTATTGTGCTCATGAAAGACGGAGCTTTTAATTATACACACTGAAGGCTGCACCCGCCTCGGGGTGGGGGAGGGGCGCCTTGAGCCTCTGATCGCCTCCCTTCTGATAGCCAGAGTGCCAATTATTTTAATGGTAATTAAAATAATGACCTTAAAAAGCCTACATCTCAACTTACATCACTGGGCTCACTGTAGTTTTTTTTTTTTTTTTCATTTAAATACCTGCTGCTGGAGGGGCTGGCTGTGGCCCTGCAGGGCTGAGGGCAGCTGTGGGACAGGGCTGGTCCTAAATGAGGGGTTCATGAGGATTCCATGGCCATGCTCAGGGGCCGGGAGGGCGGAAGGGTCATGTGGAGGCCCCGGGGCTGCTGAGCACAATCCACGTGTCACCTCGGAGGGGTTCTGGGCAGCAGACAGCTCAGGTTTTTTGAGCACCCCTCTGAGCTGCGTGTCACCTTGCTGGGGTTCTGCCACTATGCACCCTGGGAGGCCTGGGCAGAGGAGCCGAGTGCAGCCGGCTTCGTCCTGGAGACCGAGGTGCCCAGGATGAGGCGGTTCTCTTTGGAGCCTGACAGTAGTCAGGAGAAGGCTGGCCTCTGGCAGCTGAAGTGCCCAGAAAACAGGATTCAGGAGAAATCTGTGACCTCAACCGTCATTTGTGAGTAGGCCATGCAGTCAGCTTAAGTGCGTGTTTGAAAAATTTAGAAGCCTTTTCTAAGGTACTAGAAACTTCAAAAGTGAGGTGTACTGGGGGTTCCAGGTCCAAGAAGTACCCCTCACTCCCAGACACACAGCCTAGAAAGGTGCACGTAACTGGGAAAACCAGGGGCTTCGGGGAGCAGACGCTCGGGAAGGTGGGATGACTGGAGGGGCTCAGGGCTCACACAGACCCGTTGGTTTCAGCCTCATATCTGGGGGGTAGAGTACGGTTCCCATTTATAGGCGAGAAACTGAGGCACAGAGAAGTGAACGGTTTGCTCTGAGTTGCACGGCTCCAGGCTTTTTGTTACCAAATAGTACAGAATTCCAGATTTAAAGGGGAAAAGAAAAACCAAATGCAACCATTAACGTGGTCAAGAAACCTAACTAGTTTTCCTTCTCGCCAACTTCCACTCCAGAGCATGAGTCCTCCTTCCAAGGGCACACAGAGAACTTGGAAGCCACTGAAGTGACAACCACGGAGGGAGCACGGGGCAATAGGAGTGTGTCCTCCTGACTCACCCTCGTCAGTGAGCCTGGCATGAAGGTCGAAGGTCCAGTTCAAATCCTGCCTCCACCATTAAATACAAGTCATGTGACCTAGGGCAAGTGACCTGACTCGGCTACACCTCGTTTCCTCACCGGTAAATGAGGTGGGGGAGGGCCCAGCATAGGTCATAAATGTGAGAGATCATGAGGCAGTGACTGGCCTGTGGTCCTGCAAGGCAGGCCCAGGGAGGTCTCAGACTCCCCTTCACACCCACTAGTGTTGACCTCGCACAGAAATAATAATAGATCTACTAGCATTAACTTTGAACAGAAATGACAGTAACAGTTGATGCTCACTGAGCATTTACTCTGAGCCAGGCCCTGTGCTACAACCAAAGGCTACTTTCGATGGTGGTGGGGTCAGTGTCAGCCTGATGCGAGACTGAGCACATCCCATGCACTGCCCCTGTGCGGTAGATTCTAGGATTGCCCCCATTTTACAGATGAGGAGACTGAGACTCAGGAAAGTTGTGTCTCGCCCAAGAACAGTGAAGGGAGAGCGTAAACCTGTGCGTCTGTCCACACCCTCAGCCATGCTGTGCTGTCATCCTGTTTCGTCGTCTCATGTTATTCATGAAGGCAAACATGAGCCCTATTTTCAAGGTCACGGGACTGGGGAAGATGACATTCACACACGGAACCTGACAGCCTGGTGCAGGCCTGTCGGTCTGTCCAGAGCCCCTGAACCCAGTGAAAGGGTTGAAAATAAAAACCCCAGGTGTGAGCTGGGTCTGCAACAGCAAGCAGACCAGTGTTTGCCCTGGTTTCCTGTCGCGAGCAGAGTGGCAGCCAGCGGAGGGCGGGGGCAGCCAGGCCTGCCACCTCCCGCCTGCCGCCTGGCTCCCGCTGTCTGACACCGCGAGAAGCCCGTCTTGGGGACATGCGGCAGAGCGCCTCACGCTCAAGCTCAGGTCGGGGGCTGCGTGGGCAGAGGGGTGCCGACTGCCCTCGGCCAGCTCCTGGCTCCTGTGCCAGTGGGCGGGCCACCAACCTGCCGCCAGGCCCACACCGGTGCCCTGAGAGCGCCTCAGTACCAGTAATCTGCTGTCCCCCTTTGAGTCCTTTCCCAGAAATCTCCCCTCCTCCACTCTGGTCGGTGAACCAAGCTCAAGGTCCCCTCCCAGGAGGCCGCCTGGGTCCGCCAGGCCGGCCCTGGGCCGACGCACCTTCTCAGAGTAATGCTCTCCCGGCAGCGGCGGGTAGTCACACTGTTCGATCTTCTGGCAGAGGGAGAAGAGGTTCATTTTGTCTCCATAGAAGGGGCTCTGGAGAGCTGCCATCTGCAGGGGAAGGGGCGGGAGAGAAGGGTTTGCAGCCTTAGCGTCCAGATTTGGGTGTGGTCCTGCAGTCCCCACCCCAGCGACTGTCCAGCAGGACATCCCCAAACCCCAGGTAGCTGGGATTCCACAGAAGTGGCCGTTTGAGCATGATCCTTGTTATATAAGCAAATTAAATGGGACAAGGGTTGCCCTGGCCGGTTTGGCTCAGCAGCAGAGCATTGGCCCCTGGACCAATGAGTCGTGGGTTCGATTCTGGGCAAGGACACGTACCTCGGTACAGTTTGTCCCCTGCCCTGGTCGGGATGGTGCGGGAGGCAACCAGTTGATGTGTCTCTCTCGCGTCAATGTTTCTCTCTCTCCCTCCCACTCTATTTGAAGATAAATAGAAAAATATCCTCCAGTGAGGATTAAAAAAAAAATCTAAATGGGGCAAGGGTTTCAGTGACAAAACTTCAAAGGCAATTGACTGAATACTGAAGGCCAGCTGTGCCCGGCCCCCACACCGGCCGCACACCTCAGCTCTCAGCCCCGACGGTGCCCGTGTGCACGACAGTGGCCGTGTGCACAACGGTGGCGTGTGCACGACGGTGGCCGTGTACATGAGGTGCCCGTGTGCACGACGGTGGCCGTGTGCAAGAGGTGCCCGTGTGCGACGGTGGCCATGTGCAGGGTGCAGATGCCAGAACAGAGGCTCTGTTCACTGAGGCTGAAGCCTGGGCCCAGCAGGTCCCTTGGTTCATTGTCCTGTATTTCTAAGAAGCAATTCCAAAAACACCCGTGGGAGGGTGTCTAAGTAATAAATTTAGGGAATTACCTAAGGACAAACATGTTGCAGGGGGAGGCATTTCATTTTTGGCTTTACTTCTGGGTGTGTTTACCAGCCCACGACAGAGCTGCTGTCTGCGGCCCGGTTACTGCCGTCTCGAAAGCTGGCTGCCCAGACATCAGGGAGGGCAGGCAGGAGGAGGAGGGTGGGCCGGCTGCCACCCTGGCACAGGCCTGGGACCCGGTGTGTCACGGACGCTCCAGGCCCACACCTGCCATGGCTTTGCCTGGTTCCCTGCTCGGCCTTCTCTTGGTGTGTGCACTGTGTGTCTGGCCTTTGGTTTCCTTGTCCCTAAAATGGGAAGACGCTCCCCTGGCAGGGCTGTGGTGAGGCTTGGCTGGCCCGGGGGAGGCACCAAAGCTGAGTCACCACCATCTGATGAGGCCGGGGCACTGGCTCCACCCTGCGGGCAGGCCGGCCCTGGGGCCCTGGGAAGGGAAAGGACCGTGGTGGCCCCCCCAAGGGTTCTTACCCAGTCAGGGAACCACCAGGGCTCCCTTTCTGGAGGGCACCCAGACTCCCCACCCCACACAGAACACTGGGCGGGCCTCCAAAGGGGGCACGCGGGAGCCGTGGGCCACTCCATGAGGCGGTGGTGTGGCAGCCCAGCACGGTGCCCGTGGCCCCATCTGCTGATTAGTCCGTAATGGGATTCAAGTGCTTCTTGTCACTCCTGCTCACTGTCGCTGCCGCCAAAAGATGGCCCAACGCCTCCTGCTAATGAAGTGCAGTCGGATAATTGTGCCTGTCTGTCTGGCCCTCATTCCCTTGGAGGAGCCCGGCTGCCAAGGCCACTGTGCACAGACCCTGGCCGAGGGCTCCCGGGCTGACTGTGGCGGCACTGGGACACCTGAGAAATCTCGGTCCTCAGGCCTGGGGGTGGCCCAGTGGCCCTATCTCAGGGCAGGAAGCTGGGTCTGTGGGTACCTGTTAGCTTTAGTTTCCCGGTCTGCCCCCATCCTCTGCTGCCTCCCGTGAACAGTCTGGTGACCCAGGCCAGGCTTCCAGAAGCGCCCGGGGGCTTCAGAGCCCAGGCAGCACCTGTGGGCCCAGGTGCCTGGGCCAGTGCTTCCAGGGGGTGTTCAGGGCCAGCCCCCCCTCCCGTGACCAGGGTTTGGGGCCCTGTGGGAGGGCTGGGGACTGTCTGGACCGGGAAAGGGCTGCAGAGTGAGCGGCCCTGGCCCTGGCGGGGAAGGGTGAGCGCCCAGGGCCCTGCCCCCGGGGGCTCTGCCAGCCTGGCCGGGCCTGGCTTTACCGCCGAGTGTGCAAAATGGCATCGCTTGGTGCTGTGTTTCCAATAGCTGAAATGAGAGCCTTGGGTGCAAAGGGTTAACCGGGCCATTTCTAGAGGACATCTGCTGCCACAGTGGAGAGCAGCTGAGGCTCTGGGGGGTCACGGGGTGATCTGGGCGCCCTCGGAGCCGTGGCGGGGGATTAAGATGGATGTTCCCGCAAAGTGTTTGTGTTCAGAGGAGAAAGGACGTTTAAATGTTGGCCCCACTAACACAGGCTCTGGTTTCTCACATGTCTGACCTGGGAGAGGGACTCGGCGAAGCTTTTAATAAGCCAGTCTGATCTGATTTGCAAAAACCTTGCTGTTCGCGATTCCAAAGGGCCCCAGAAACTGGCAAGGGGCAACCCCCATATCCGCCACCCCCTTCGGATCATTTCTCCCTTCTTTCTGGTACCTTCCCTACACTGATTCGGAAAAGCTTCTTGAGCAGGGTCGGCAGTAGGACTCCCTGCGAACAGTGGCTTCTCCACCCAATGCAGATTCTGACGGAAGCAGCGGACCCCCTCCAGCGCCGATCAAGGGCCTTCCACCCAGATCAGGGCATCGGGCTGTGAAGGAACCTCTGGGGCTGCTCGAGACTCTGGGATTAGACCGATTACCCCGGATGGGAGATCTCCCTGCACGTGACCACCCTCCCCGACTCGTCAACGAGAAGAGGTCTGCTCTTCGGGGCTGACACTGGTTGCCTCGTTAGCACTGCCAGAGCTGGCTGTCAGCGCTGCTCCTCAAGTGCAGAACTTCTGTCTGGTGTTACTGGGGTGACATAACTGGGGAGACGGGAGAGTGTGGGCACTTCCCCACTGGGAGGGCTCAGAGGCACTGGTGTGTGATCTGAGATGTCACAGGGGGAAGGAGAATCTGACTGCAAAGAGGACAGTGATTGCCTGCGACTCCCACCTTGTCAGGGACTCAGACACCCTCTAGTCATCCGACATCTGCCCAGCACCTCCCAGATTCTGAACCCAGAGACCCATCGCCAAGCAGTCTGCAGCCCTGCTCCCCAACGCGGCAGGGGCGTCCGAACCATTCCCGGCTCAGGCCGGAATCCAGAGCAGGGTTCCGAGCAAGGTGCAGCTGACCCCAGGTCTGTCCCACACGGGCCCCTGCAGGCAGCTGTGAGGCCCCCAGCTGAGGATCCCGGGGCTGGCACTGAATGAGCCAATTCCTTCAGCTCCCATGTAGATAAATAAATCCTGCAGAGCCAGGCAGCCTGCTGGGCGCCTCCACGGGGCATGCTGGGTAATGAAAATAAAGCACTCGGGCATCTCTGCCGGGAGCTCCCAGGGCAGAGGAGGGGCTGCTGAAGTTGCTCAGGCTCCTCACAACCCGGCTGTCCCCCACAGGGGCTCTGGGCAGAGCCGCCATACCTCTTTCTCCGAGGCCATGCCTCCCTGCTGGCTGGAGAGGGGAGAGGCCCTGGCTCCCGCCCACAGCGGGCCAGGCTTTAACAGGCAGCCTGGGGACCAGCGCCCGGCTTCGCTGCTTCCGTGCTGTGTGACACCAGGAAGTCTCTCCACCTCTCTGAGCCTCAGTTTCCTCCCTCGGAGCCAGGCTGCGACCGGGCTGGTGCGGTTCATCCCACGTCCGGGGCAGCGCTGCTCCAGCTGCTGCGCCGTGTGGCGTCTCCTACGCTGACCTCCTCCGGGCCTCCCACTTGGCACCACCCAGCGGGCACCGCCATGCTCGGTGTCAGCATCCTGGGTGACCTCAGGCGGTCCTCGGTGGACATCCAGATGCCCAGGTGAAATGGAGTGTGGTGGGCTGACTACGGGCCCCTAAACAGGTCCTCGTCCCAAAGGGGACTTGGCGGGCATGATTAAATTCAGACTCCCTAGATGGAAATTAGCCCAGGTGGTCCAGGTGGGCCCTCAGAGTAACCACAAGTGTCCTCGTAAGAGGGAGGCAGAGGAGATTTGACTACAGAAGAGGAGGAGATGTGTCAAGGGAGTGATGGGGTCATGACCCCGGATGTAGAAGCAAGCCCCGATGACACTTTTTAGTCCAGTGAAACCGACTCTGGACTTCCGGCCCCCAGAATGTTAAGAGAATAATTTTATGTTGCACGAAGCCATCAACTGTGTGGCGAGTGGTTACAGAAGCCTCAGGGGACCAACAAGGGGCTTTGATTCTTCCTGTCTTCACTGGGGCTCAGGGAAGGGCCGGCCTGTCCCTGTCGGGGGCAGGTGTTCTCTGGTCCGTGCCCAGGTGCGCTCCACAGGGACCAGGCCAAATCCTCGGACACGGTCTGGAGCGGGCGGGGGGCCTCTGGCACAGCTCGCAGGCTGCGCCCCCAGAACACACACAGGCCGTGTGGCGGGAGCTCCAGGCGTGTCTGTGGGATGTTTCCTTCCAATTACCAAGCCCTGAGCTCAGATGCGTCTCCCTCCCTGTCTGCTGGGAAAACATCCGCTTCCATCTCTGGTGGGGCTGGGGGAGTAGGCAGAGGGGTGGCAGCCCAGGGCAGGGCCCCTCCCTGACTTGTCACCCCTGGAGGGGCTGGCCTTGACCAGCCAAGTCAGCCACGAAAATCCCCTTCTGTGGGAGGCCGAGGCCCATTAGGTTGAGATCAGCCCCGCTGTCCCCAGGGACGTCCATGCCCACAGGACTCAGCTGATTCCATCGATTTCCCACTGCTGATCCGTCCCGCCCGGCTGCGAGCCGCGTGGTCACACACAGCCAACAAACAAATCAACCGGGAGCCAGGGCCTCCGTGCTGGGGAGCCACTAGCGCGCACGCTGCCTCGTTAGACATGCGTTTAGGTGCCCGAGACGAGGACTCGAGGGCTCCTGGCCTGGAACCGGCGAGGCCAGCACCGCGACGGCCCAGGCTGCATCTGCCTCTAGGAGACGAGACAAAGGCTCGGGCAGGAGCAGGGCGGCTGTTGGCGGAAAGCTGGGTGAGAGCACAGGCGGCCAGCTGCCGTCCTCCCGCCGCCCTGGGCACGCGCACCTGTCCCACCCTGGTCAGCCTGCGTGTCTGTTGCTTTATGTTTGGAGACCCTCGCGGTTCGCGGAGGCGGGATGCAGCTCACGGAAATCCCAATGCAGGATGGAAAAACAGGACCTGGCTCTCTGGACTGGGGACAAAGCCCATGAGGGCAGAAAGGCAAAGCAAAGCTGCACTCAGCTTCCCACTGGCCGAAGCAAAAAAAGCAACGTGGTCGGCCGCTGCCTCCCTACCAGAGGCGGCGGCAAACGCCAGCTGCTGGGTCTGCAGTGGGTCAGCGGGCTGGACAGCGAGGAGGACAAGTAATGCTTCCCAGACCTGCCCTCCGCTGCCCCAGGGCCTTCCTTGAACACAGAACAAGGAGGCAAGGTGTGACCCCATTTTATATTAGGGCAACTGAAGCTGGGGCGGGGACACTGTTGCCCTGGGGCTGTTAGGGGTTGGTGGGAACAGAGCTTTGAACGGAAGTCCTTCTGACCAAAGTTTGGGCCCCAGCCAGGACCCTGCATCTCTCCCACCCACATTACCATGGTTATGTGAGCTGCGCACACACACTCACACACTCACACATGCACACACACACTCACATGTGCACATACACACACACATGCACACACATGCACGCTCACACCCACATGCATGCTCACACACACATGCACAAGCACTCACATGCACACCCACAAGCACGCTCACACGCACACACACACACGCACACCCACATGCATGCGCACACACACATGCTCACACACACATGCATGCACTCACACATGCACACCCACAAGCACTCTCATGCACACATGCACACACATGCACAACATACACATGCACACGCATGCACGCACACACACTCACATGCACGCTCACACATGCACGCACACAAGCACTCACATGCACGCACACACACTCACATGCACGCACTCACACACACTCAAAACAGCACCTCTAGCTGCCTGCTATGAAAGGCATTTGCTCGGTCCTGGGAAACACAGAACCACAGCCCCTCCCCCTCAGGACCAACATCTGGGTGGACAATGCTTAGAGGTGGGTTGGATCCTCTGCTCAGACCCAGGCTGGGGCATGAGTGAGGTGCGGTGGGCGGGGCTATTGATGCTGGAGCACTGAGCCCAGGGACAGCCAGGTTAGCGTAACATGGGCTTGGCTTTGTCACTGGCCTCGGCAGCCCCTGGGGCCCCAGTGTTCACCCGAAGAAGTAACTGGACTTGGAGGGGTAGCTGGAGAGAATTCCAGCACAAGGTGGCCCAGGGCCAGGGCAGTGGGAGGGTGTGGCCGCAGCTTAGAGATACTAGAAGGCTCAGGCCTCCCTCCCTCCCTCCCTCCCTCCCTCTGCAACAGCCTCATGGTGAAAATGGCTCGTGCTCCCAGACCTCCAGTCATCGGGGCCCCAGCGTGGCTGGCCAGAATGGGTGGGGGCATCTATTTGTTCATGTTGTCTCATGCCTGAACCCACCAAGACTCAGACATGTTCCTGTCCCTCCTTCCAGGATGGCCACCAGATCTGGGAATGGACTCAGATGCCACAGGCGGGTATCACCCACCCCCGGGTTCCCTGAGCCGCTGGGGTAAACCCCACCCCGGCTGGATGCCCCCACGAATGCCCTGCCAAATGCCACTGAGCTCTCACCTCGTAGAGCAAACAGCCCAGAGACCAGATGTCGGACTTGAAGTTGTAGCCGTTCTCATGGATCCTCTCCGGTGACATGTAGTACGGTGTCCCCACTGAAACACAGCAAGGGGGCGGGTGCTTATTCTCCGTGCAGGGGCAGGACACATGCGCGTGGGGAGGGGAGAGACCTGGGCTCAGTCTCACAGGGACCCTCTCCTGTTCCTTCCTTCAAAGGAGAGGGCTGGACCAGCCCGAAGGCTCTCGTGCTGGTGGGTGCTAAAAGTCCCCGGCGACAGGGAGCACCCAGCCTGAGGACCATTCTGGGGGCTGGGCATCTGGGGACCGGTGTTTCTGCGAACTGCCCAGGAAGTGGGACAGAGCAGCCAGGCTCTGGGCAGCAACCGACCAACCACCACTGTCCACTTTGCTCACACATGTCCCGTTAGCGGTTTCGTGTTCCTCGCAGCCCTAGGAGTGGGCATCCCCATTTTACAGATGAAGAAACTGAGACTCAGACAAGCAGCAGGACTGGGGTGAAACCCAGCTCTTCAGGCTCCAGAAACTGAGCTCTTACTACCCTCAGTGGGCCCCGACTGGCACGTCCAGATTTGGAGTTGGCCGAAATTTCTTAAACAGGACAAACAGGCACTGGCCATACAAGGAAAGATGGATAAACTGGACTTGATTAAAATTAGGAACCTCAGTCCACCAAAAGACCACTCAAAGAGTTAAAGGCACCGTCTGGAAGGAAACCGTCTCAACACCCAGGGCCGACACAGAATATATTTGAAAATTCTACAAGTCCTTAAGTAAAAGACAAACGACCCCCTACCTCAAAGTAGCAAACAACCTGAAGAGGCCCTTCACAAAGAGAGTATTCACACGGCCACTATGTCCAGGAAATGTTGTTTTTCTCATTACTCATGAGGGTGATGCAAATTAAAAGCACAGTGAAGTACTGCTGCCCACTACCGGAACGGTTACAGTTCAAGGTGAACCGAGGCTGGAACCCTCCAACATTGCTGACGGGGCCTAAATGGCCCGACCACATGGGACACTGTGTGGCTGAACATGGCCGACACTAGGAACCAGGAGCCCCGCTCCTAGGCACACACCCCAGAGAAAGGAGAGCGTCTGTCCATGGAGACATGATAAAAAATGGGCAAAGTGGCTTCATTCACAACAGCCAGAAACTGGAAACAAATGTCAATCCACAGAATGGATAGCTGGATAATGGGTTTACTCACACGATGGGATACTAAACGGCCACGAACAAGAACAAACCTCAGGGCACGCCACAAAGGGGAGCAAGCCCACAGCAGACGGTGAGTGGAAGCAGCCAGGCACGAGAGAGCACACACCACGGTTCCATGTTTATCAAGAACGGGAAAAACTGCTCTGTGAGGCAGTGATCAGAAAGGGCTCAAGGGAACTTGACTGTATATATATCGCATCTCAATTAAAACAGCAGAAGGGTCACGTTTTGAAGATCTACTGTGCAAAGACGGGAGGATTTCCTGAGAGGGGGGTGAGCTCCCCATTACCAGAGGCATGCAAGTTGCCGCAAAGGGGCTGATTTGGCAGGGCTGTGGCGGGGCCCAGGAAAATGGATTTGTCACTCCAGATTTGTTACCCGAGATTCTGATCTCAGTCCACCTGGAGGGTGACTGTTCTGGAGGCCCTCGGACCAGGTTTTAAAGGCTGCGACACGGGGCATGTTCACTAGCCGGGAGATCCCTCGTGAAAGTGCGACAGTAGCTGCTGTTCTGGCCAGTCTGTGTAGGAAGCTGAAGTCCAGCAAGACAGAGGCTGAGTCTGAGATGTGGCTGACGAGCCTGCGGAGGAGGGGCGTCCAGCGCCACAGAAACACAAGGCCCCTGGACGACAGGCCTTCCCGGGAGCTGGCCTTGGAAAGCACAGGCGCCCCCAGCAGGGGTCCGGGCGTCAGGATTTCATGGGCCAAACATGCTTCAGGGCAACTACCTTTTGCCAAGTAAAGGCGTTTAAAAAACATAACACCCCAACTACCATTTAGCGTCACTATTATTTTCTAAAGAAAAGACGGTTTAACCCTAGAAAACTCACAATCTCAAAATTAAGGAGAGCCCTTTACATCAAAAACATTCAGCTGCAGTATTTGAACACTTCATCTTCTTATTTTCCTCTTCACTGGAGATGCACGAGAAGATCTGTCGCACAGACTTGTAGAGGCGGCGAAGTGTTGGAAACCCCGATTTCAGGTTTCCTGGGGCAGGACCGTGTCTACCAAAACACCCCAGCACCCTGCCAGGACCAGGTCACAGGTCACGGAGGGCACCTAATAAGCGGCTCTTTACCGTGTCAACGAGGCCGTCCGCACACGATCAGATGGCATATGTCAGTGTTGACACTTTTTCTTGCAGCCGAATGCACTTTCCTCAACGGTGTCTGCCCAAGAGGGACCTCCTGGTCACTGCCTTATCAGAGCACCGAGTGCCCTTTATTCCCCGAACAAGGACGGCCGCCACGCTGAGACGCAGGGTGTGAGAGCTGTGTCGTCCTGTGCGTATTTAGGGCTGAAGTCGGCCGAAAGAGCTGTCAGGCAACGTGCGAACCCGTGTGGGATTCTGCGAACAAACTACAGCTTCCGGTAGCAGCCTCTTGTACAGTTTGGTCATGAGGGAGCAAGATGACTGTGACATGGATGACTTGTCATAACCAAATCACAGGGTGACATCCAAACAGTTTTCAGTGAACAGCGGGAAGCTCAGACCAGACTGTAAGTGATTCCGGCTGGCAGGGTGCCGTGGATGGACGTGCCTGTGGGGTGAGAACCGTCCCCACACTGAACGGCCACATGGGCTGCTGGGGCACACAGAGACAGCAGGGGCGGTGGGGAGAAGGGACACAGTGTCCACTGTCTGGCTGCACCGCACCCCTCAGACCCAGGGCCAAGCCCCTCCTGGCTGGCAGTGCGGGCCGGCTCTGACACCTCCTGCCACCCCCAGCCTTGTCCTCTGCTCATTTTAGATCTGCCTGGGCATCTACAGGAGGACTCCGGGGAGAGACTGCTCAGTGGCCAGGCCCTTCTGAAAGTGAAGGCGCTGAGTGCCTGGCCCTGCTCCAGGCCCCCAGCCCCAGCCCAGCTTGCTCTACAGTTCACCTCTGCCCCTTTGCGTCCTGGTGAGCTCCCTTCCGGTCCAGTGAAACTGCCCCTCCCCCTGGCCAGTGAGAGCTGGCTGCTCAGTGAGGACGCTGGGTTTGTCTCTGGTCAGTCGCCACTTGCTCCCTCTGCGGGGCTCCCTGCGGATCCCTGCCCCAGCCCTGGTTGTGGTGAAGGCCTTGGGGCCCACGGGAGACAAAGGTTAGGACACCTCCCCTTTCCGTCCACTCTCCACCTCATCTACCTCTTCACTGCTCTTCGGCTTTTATCCCACTTCCCCGGTGTAGGAAATGCAAGGCAAGCACCCAAATGTAACGTGGACTCGGTTCTAAGATGCCAGTGCTACAGAGGCCATCAATCCAGACACCCATCAGTCTGTCTGTCCGTCCATCCTCCATCCATCCATCCATCCATCCATCATCCATCCATCCAACAGTCCAACAGTCCATCCGTCCATCCATCCATCCATCCATCATCCATCCATCATCCATCCATCCAACAGTCCAACAGTCCATCTGTCCATCCATCCATCCATCCATCCATCATCCATCCATCCAACAGTCCAACAGTCCATCTGTCCATCCATCCATCATCCATCCATCCAACAGTCCAACAGTCCATCCGTCCATCCATCCATCCATCCATCATCCATCCATCATCCATCCATCCAACAGTCCAACAGTCCATCTGTCCATCCATCCATCATCCATCCATCCAACAGTCCAACAGTCCATCTGTCCATCCATCCATCCATCCATCCATCCATCATCCATCCATCCAACAGTCCAACAGTCCATCTGTCCATCCATTCATCATCCATCCATCCAACAGTCCAACAGTCCATCTGTCCATCCATCCATCCATCCATCCATCCATCATCCATCCATCCAACAGTCCAACAGTCCATCTGTCCATCCATCCATCCATCCATCCATCCATCATCCATCCATCATCCATCCATCCATCATCTGTCCACCTGCATCCAATGTTAACTGAGCACTGATGCTGTGCTGGGCCCATCGCAAGGTAGTGAGTTGCCTGTCCAAGGAAGTGTCGAGAAGAAGCCAGCTGATCAAGAAGAGGACGGAGTGCTCAGTGGCTGCAGCAGAGTCCCCTGGAGGAGCTCGTGAAAACTCCGGCTCCCCGCCCCGCGGGATCAGAATCCCCAGGGCTGCAGTGTGGACACCTGCCTCTCTCCCCGGGCCCAGGAGCCCCTGGTGCCTGTTGCAGCTGAGAGGAGATGTGCAAAGCCACCCGCCCCGCCAGCCCTTCAGATGCTCAGAAATATCTGCAGAGCAAATGAGCTACTGAGGGAAGTCTGGGCTGTCCTGCTGGGCACTGGGTCCCCACGTCTCAGGAAGATTCTCCAGACCCCTAACCCAGGGGAGGGGATGCTCCGCTTGGTCAGTGAGCCCTAAAGTTGGGGTACTCTGCATCATCGGAGGATCCTCAACTGGCTCCAGGGGTGCACAAAGCTGCGGAGGTGAACACAGGCCCCCGCCAGCGTCCCCTGGGAATGAGTCTGGAAAACCCGGTTTTTACACTGACAAGTCCTCAAACACTCTGAAGCATAAGGTGAAACGCGCATGAGTTTTCAAGATGAGACGAGAGATTTCAAAGAGGTTCCAAGCTTGCAGAGGGCCCTGGAAGGTGTGTCCCCAAATCCCAGGGGGGGGCAGTGATTCTGGGGAAGAGTGGGAGAAGCTGGCAGGAGAAGGTGCCCTGAAGGCCATGGCGGCCGGCCCTGGCCCCCCCAGGGGGTCATCTGTGGGCACCCGCGCAGGCAGAGCAGCAGCTCAGCCTGACAGTCAGCAGCCTGGGTCTCCAATCCCTCCAGCAATATCCCCATCACACCGCCACCCTCCATCTTCACAGGGGGGCCGCACTCCGCACATGAAAGAGGACCCTCAGAAACTCTGACCTTCCTGCGCCTTTACCTAGAACGCCCAGATTTCAAACCCGCAGATATCA